TCAAAGCTACTGATAATGTTTGGCATGCTGAATACCCTGAACCATGCTTTTGCGAAAAGCTCACAAAAATAAAAACGTGACACGGTTCTTCCTGGATTACGTGCACAGAACTTGTGGCATGTATCCCTCCACGCCACTTTTAGAGGTGCAAAACACCCTCTATCTAAAGGCTGGGTTATGTGCGTAGTGTGTGGTGGTAAAGCACATAGTACTATCTGCTGCTTAGCAGCCATGGCAATTGTCTCCGGACAATAGTGGGCTGAATGCCCATCCAGCATGAGAATTATTGGTCTGGCACTGGGAATTGAGAGAACGAAATGATTGAACCACTGTCGAAAGATTTCCCTGGTTATCCCACCCATTATGAGACAGACTGTAGACTGTGCCAGGTACTTCCCCCTTTGTCATAGCTTCATTTAGGGACAATCGATCAAAAATTATTAGTGGAGGTACTGCATACCCAGAAGCACATGTGCATGCCATGACTGTAATTTGTGACTTGCAACCACTGCTTAAAAACTGGGGTTCTTAGAGCCAACCTTGTCAACCACTTTGAGACTCTTTGGGTTTAGTGGTACCCCAGTTTCGTCACAATTGAAAATGCGTGCTGGGTTTGTCCAGTATTCCATTGGATCATAGGCAGTTTTCAAGCATATTGAAGTATATACCAATCCAGTACATCTCGGTAAGCCATTGCTCGTGCCATTGACAGTGGAACAGCCACACGTAACGCTATCTGAGCGGGGTATGTGTTATAACTGTGATATCTTTTAATTTTACTATTCTCCTCTCATTATGCTATACTACGACATACTTGTTGGCACCCCCTGATAAAATATCATGGAGTTAGGTATTTTTGGTTAATCATACCCTGGTTCGCTCCTACATACTAAGTGCAGGGTTCCTATGTTGTTTTGTAAATGTAGTTTAACGTATTTAAGTGTAGTTAACGGCAGGAGTTGGACTTCGGTGCGCATGTGTACTTAGGCCCCCTTCGCTGACTTCAGTGAATGCGACTAGTTATGTAATGACTTCCCCTGACTGATGAGCTGCTCTTGTAGCTCACTGGTAGAGCACTCCGTTAACAGAACATATAATGTAATGGGTTAAGTCCCACCTCTATATACCCTGCACGCATATGCACAGCAGGGGTAATGCAATTGGTGCATGCATGTACATATGTCAAAATAATTACAAACGGCACCTTAGTGGCCAAATTAGCTACCACTTTAAACTTGCGTAGCAGAACTGTGCTGAATGTCTACAACCAAGTTTGCTATATAAGGACTAGTCGTTTTGCCGTGTGATGCAGAACATCACTCTACAAAGGATACTTGGTTTACTCTACCTTGTACTAATTAGAGAGTCGGTAGACTCTCTATATAGGGATGACACGGTGAAATATCACGTGATCCGCGTACAAAACATGTAGCTTTGTGCATCTTTGCTGTGTAATGACCCCTTGTTTCTTCCTTTTTGGTGCTTCAAGCCATCCCTATATCCCCCTTTCATTTGGAAGAAATGATTTTTCCACTTGTATATATCCCTCCACGCCACTTTTAGAGGTGCAAAACACCCTCTATCTAAAGGCTGGGTTATGTGCATAAGTGTGTGGTGGTAAAGCACATATTACTATCTGCTGCTTAGCAGCCATGGCAATTGTCTCCGGACAATAGTGGGCTGAATAATCCAGCATGAGAGTTATTGGTCTGGCACTTGGAATTGAGAGATTGAACCACGATCGAAAGATTTCCCTGGTTATCCACCCATTATGAGACAGACCCTAGACTGTGCCAGGTACTTCCCCCATGGTCATAGCTTCATTTAGGGACGATCGATCAAAAATTATTAGAGGATGTATTGCGTACCCAGCAGCACATGTGCATGCCATGACTGTAATTTGTGGCTTGCAACCACTACTTAAAAACTGGGGTTCTTAGAGCCAACCTTGTCAACCACTTTGAGGTTAAGTGGTACCCCAGTTTCGTCACAATTGAAAATGCGTCTGGTTTGTCCAATTTTCCGTTGGATCGTAGGCAGTTATCAAGCATACTGAAGTATATACCGATCCAGTACATCTCGGTAAGCCATTGCTCGTGCCATTGACAGTGGGACGGCCACACGTAACGCTATCTGAGTGTGTCGCTTAATTACAGAGTGGGTAGACTCTCTATAAAGGATGACACGTGATACGCGTACAAAACGACTAAAAGCTCGGTGAGAATCACTCCCTAGGCCTTCAAAACATAAGCTAGGGGCTACCTATACATGTCCACCAAGACCTCATACGCACCTTCAGTCGTCCACGCGAGAATTCGTCTTCATCTATCTTCAGACCCGCTAGCTCCCTACCGGAAGCACTTGAAGCGTTGATTTTTCACAAAACGTCTCCGAATTTGCCGGAGGCGTGCACGCATATCAAGCGATCGTTTGTTTCTTGCCACAAGTCACTACGGTAGATCGTTGAGCTCTTCCTGGGTATTCACCCATCCGCATGCGCCGAGGAGGGCGTTTCCAATGCGGTGCGCACGCATTTTGTCTCGTCCACGAAGCGAGACTAAGCCAGGACTGGATGCCTGCAGAGAAAACTACTCGTGCCTTCTGTAAGTCAGTGTACTCATTTGTAAGTGGCTAGCTTGCGTTCGTTTTGCTGTTGATTTGCACGAGGAGCAACTTGCTGTGTTACGCGTGCCTTGCCAGGCGCCTTCATTTTTTGTCCCCCAGGTTATAGCTATCATTGTAGTCTGATTTCTGAAGCCTGCCCAATGAAACCACCACCATATGTGCCACTACCTAATCGCGTCCTTGTTGGAGACCCTACGCATACACCCTACTTCAGCTTCTGCTTTCGACAGTTATCTCTACAACATACCCATGAACATAAGAGTGACTGAAAATGCACTGTTGTCATAAGCCATTAAAAATAGTGGAAACAAGTGGAAAAATAATTTCTTAAAAATGAAGGGGGACATAAGGATGGCTTGAAGCACCAAAAAGGAAGAAACAAGGGGTCATTACACCAAATATGCACAAAGCCACATGACACCATCCCTATGTCTTGTTTTATTGTTCATAAGCAATGTGAGACAAAGATATAGGGATGGTGTCATGTGGCTTTGTGTATATTTGGTGTGTAATGACCCCTTGTTACCCTCGGCGCGCATGCGCAGCGAGGGTACTGTAGTTGGGTTTGTCTGTCTGTGTGTCTCTTACTCTCAATCTCACTTCTCGAATGTCTGTTCGTCTCACAAACGATACCATCTACCCAACGGGCGATGAAGGTCAGAAAATAAAGGCAGTTTTCTCTGAAAATGCTCCGTAGAGCGCTTCCAGCATTGTATGGCTAATGCCGGTAGTCGCCATTTTATCGCTGGCGGATAATGCGCATGCGCTTATATTTAGCACAGGCTTACCTCGACCGGGTCCGCTTGCTCTGTCTATCTTGAAGGCACAAGAAGTCACAACGGATGGCGTGTATCGACTCTCGCGTGCTATCTACTACTGTAGCTAGCCCGTGTCAGACTCTCTACGAGCTACTTCGCGGAGGGTTTGCACTTTAGTGCTTTTCATTTCTTCCTTTTTGGTGCTTCAAGCCATCCCTATAGCTATCCCCCTTCATTTTGAAGAAACGATTTTTCCACTTGTATAGTTATCTCTTCCACCACCCACTTCTCCCAATTGTTTCAATTCCCTTACTTTCAACTATCTGTTGCACAAGAACTATGATTTGCTTCCTTGTGTGAGCATATGATATAGCCAATTTTAGCCATTTCTATGAGAAAAACTGGTAGCTAAGCTCTTCCTCTTTTTCTGGAGTCAAATAGGAAGTTGGCCCCGACCTCGCCTTTAGAGGGACTTCACATGAAACAGCGTGATTGCATTGTAGACTTCGAGCATGCCTCCCTGATTGCTCTGTGGTAGAGCAAAGGATTTTGTTTACACTCATCCATTACTGCTCCTTTCTTTGTCCTGGGTGTTTGTATAACTGTGATTTCTTTTAATTTTACTATTCTCCTCTCATTATACTATACTACGACATACTTGTTGGCACCCCCTTATTAAAATCTTTGGGGCCCAAAGCACCTCGAGGGGTAATTTACGTCACTAAAACGCAACGGAAACGCAACGGAAAAAAACGCAAAAATATTATTGGCGAAAGAAGAAAAAGACGGTGGGATTCGAACTAGGGACCTCCCGTGTTAAAGTGCACTACCTTACCGCCTGAGCCATTCACTCCACGCTCCTGAAGTAGGCTAAAACGTTACCTATATTCAGGATTACGTAGGCAATTGCGCCTGTAATGTGGACCCCCATATCATAGAGGTATTTTTGGTTTATCATACCTCATTCCCTGGTTCGCTCCTACATTATTTCGGAGTACTAACTGCAGGGTTTCTATGTTGTTTTGTAAATGTAGTTTAACGTAGTTAAGTGTAGTCAACGACTTCGGTGCGCATGCATACTTATGCCCCCTTCGCTGAATTCAGTGAATGCGACTAGTTTTGTAATGACTTCCCCTGACTGATGAGCTGCTTTTGTAGTTCACTGGTAGAGCACTCCGTTAACAGAACAAAATGTAATGGGTTAAGTCCCACCTCTATATACCCTGCACGCATATCCACAGCAGGAGGGGAAATGCATGCATGTACATCATGTGTCAAAAAATGCCAAATGGCACCTTAGAGGCCAAATTAGCTTCCACTTTAAACTTGCGTAGCAGAACTGTTCTGAATGTCTACAACCAAGTTTGCTATATAAGGACTAGTTGTTTTGCCGTGTGATGCAGAACATTGCTCTATGGTTCACTCTACCTTGCACCAATACTATTACCTCTGAGGAAGGACACTTTCAATCACCATCAGCTGGCAGGTTGGCCTTAACACTCCTATAACACCTATCAATTACCAGTTCCTCGTCCTTCATCATCGAGCTCTTGGTTTGTATCAACATGAAACACATCTGTGAAGGAGATTGGAAGCGCTCATGCATGAATAGTGCAACTCACTCTCTCCTTTTGTTTGTGTCAATTAGCTCAACACACAAAGCATCTGTGTTGACAGTACAATTAGCGGGTGAAAAAATGCGGGTTCAAGTGCTGCCGAAGTGCTGACAACCAAAGTTTATGGCCGAATTTGCTGGGCCGAAGTTGGAATAAACGCTTGAAATCTTGCAGAGAGTTGTAGAAATGGTTGTAAAAAGGTACACAATGCTTTGCTTAGTTATAAGACGTAGCTATACCGAGTTCTGGTAAATTTGACACTGTAACTCACTGGGTAACCAGGGGTAGTCAGGGGTTGGCCGACTTTTCCGAATATTCAGCCTAAAGTAGACCTATCTAGCTCGAAAATATCCCGATGTTCCTTTTGCTTCGGTTCAGAGAGAGCTCTCTACGGAAGACAAGCTGCTGACTCGTCAAAAATTTGCAGCGGCATTACGTAACTGACAACCTCCTCTGGGGAGACCTCAAACGTGTCCTTTATTACAAACAAGTGTATGGTCCTTTATGAGTGTCCTTTACAGAGAGGGTATATACCTTTATTCAGAGTGACATTATAAAGGGTTTCACTGTAATCCCTGGCACTTCTGATAAATATAATATATATATATAGCCGAGGCAAAACAAAAGTTATAGAATCAACTTAAAGATATCAAAGCCCACTCATTACATATTCCCATTATGCATACTAGGATATTGTAATTATAGTGACCTGCACTGGTTGTTAAATTGAAGAAGATGTCGAAGGGGAAAGTGATGGGGCAACTTATTGCTGGCCTTGATACATAGAGACACACTTCCACTGTTTCAGCAGTAGAGCTCATAGTGTAGACAGTCCTCTCCAGACCTACTCCAGCAACTACAAAAAGAGCAAGAAACGGACAAGGAGTGAAGATTAAGAGCAGTATACAATAGAAGAAAACAAACTGTGTGTAACATGAGCATACCGTCGTCATCCATAATCTCAATGATTCCATATTTCTGAGTGTTGCTGATCTGAATGGCTGAATGATCGTCCTTTAGTGCAATCTCCACATAGAGCGACTCTGGCAACTCCACTCCAGGAAAGTCTACCACTACCAGCTGAGCACACGCCTTGTTCCGGACAGGGTCATATCTCACATCTACCTGTGTCGTTCTAAAGTCTTCAGGATAAGCTGCAGGAAAAGAATGAGAGGCAACAGCGAAAATTGCTTCTTCTACAGCCACTTACTTGCGCTGTCGGGGATAAATGTGAACCGTATATAAAAGGGGAAGGCAATAGATTTAACTGGATGTCCACTGACGACAGCACAAACACTTGCTCTACCAACATTCTCCCGTACTATCTGGTAGAGAGACCTGAGGCGCACCATCGCATCTAGAAGAACAAACAATGTTGATGATATTGTGAGTGGGAGAGAAACCTCTTACTGTCATTGTCATAGATGGTGATGGTCGCTGTACTTCTGTCATAGCTGACAGAGTTCACACTCTGAGAAATCCTAACTAAAATGGTCTCATTCATTTCCACAACCAGGTCCTCTGTGATTTGTATCGCCATACACTGCCTGTTTCTGCATTTAGGTATTGTTAGGTATGACTCCAGACCAGAATAGTCTTCCCCCTTATCTGTTGGGAAACAGTCAGTCAACATGAACAAAGTACAAAACAGCATAATATGCTATAATAATATACCTGCAGTTCCTCTGATATAAAGAGTTATGTTGAAATCATATTCAACGCGACAGCCTGTGCTGGCAGACTCCACAACAGCACAGAGTTCGACAGATCTCCCCTCAGTATTCTCCGCAACTAGTGGATCCAGTCTCACTCTTGCATCTGCAATTACCAGCAGATTGTGTGAAGCAACCAGACAACAATGTGTAACATCATACTGTCGTTATCGTTGATAAAAATAGTTGTAGATATTCGTCCAAGCTGAACTCTATCGTCCAGGTCTGCAGTCCTTCCCAAAGTGACATTGAAGTACTCCCTCTCTTCTACAATATTGTCATCCGTGATGTTGAAATAGACACATTGTCGGTAACTTATTGGCTCGAATGTCACACTATGAGACTCGCTGTCAAAATCTGACGGTGTGCCAGTGCCTGAGGAGAGGAATAAGATAAGTTTGTATGTAGGTGGACGTTTTGAATAAAACGTGGTATTTAGAGCTTGTTACCTGCAGTGCCGGAGACCGTGGCTAGAAGGACTGTGCTGTTGATGTCACTTGTTCCACTCATCAGGGCACACACCCGTACCCTACCACTTGACTCTCTCACAGTGTATGCACTAAACTGCAAACCAATGGTCACATCTGGTGAGAGAAATATTATTTCATCACTGAGTAACTAGAACTAAACGCACTCACCATCATCATCTGTGATCTTGACAGTGCTGGCCCTAGCACTGACTCTAACTCTGGTGTCAGTATTTGCACTTTGCAGAGAGACAGTAAACTCTTCCTCTGCCTTCTCCATGATGGAGTCATCATTAATCCTTATTGTTCCACAGGCTTCCATATCGCATCTTGCGAAGTTCAGTGTTATTGATGATCCATAATCTGAAGGTCCTACAGTGAGAAAATAAATACAGAGTTACTAGTACGTTAAATAAATGGTGGAATATGGAAGTCTTGCTGAAAAATAAGAATACCTGCACATCCAGCAATTGGAACCAATCTGACTCTGATGGGAAAGTCTAGTTCACAGTCTGCACTGACTGGGAAAGGACTTCGCACTTGAGCACAGATTGTCACTCGTCTATCGGCTTCGCTAACTCTGTAGTTTGAGTTTTGGATGGTGACTCTGGCAGCTGCATTGTGTGGAGCACAGTAATTAGAATACCGAACCAACTAATTTTAAAAAGCACGTGCTACTCACAGTCATTATCCTCGATGACAACCTCGGAACGTGTCTGAGTTAAACTAATTCTGGAATCCCATTCGATGCCTCTGGTGATTGACACATACAAGTTTTCATCCCCTTCTACTAGCTCATCATTAACAGTTTCGATGTTGACACAGATTTGAGAGGTACAGGGAGGGACATGTGCCATAACCGCACTCAGAGCTTCATAGTCTTCAGGTGAATCAGCTGAAAAAAAGAAGGTTGTGATACGAAACAAGAAGATTGCTTAACGTCCACGCCTCCTCAATTCTTACCTGAGCCATCCCTGCTGTTGAATATAACATTGATAATGAACGGCACAACACATTCTCCACTTTCTTCTAACAACCCCACACACACTGTCTCTGTTAGTGTTTGGCCTTCCTCTACCCTGTACTGAGCTCGAGTCAGACCAAACCTAGCCGCTGTAGATGGGACTCAGTTAGCCATGTGACAACACATTAATCTCTCAAGCTTACTATCATCGTCTCTGATGGTAACATTTGTCTTGGTCCGGGAGCCTATTTTGATGTGAGGATCAAGCTGCTCAGTCCTCATGAGACTGCTGTAAAAATTCTCCTCTTCCTCCACCTTTCTGGTGTCCACAATACCAACAGAGAAACACTGCCTTCGGTGACATGCTTCAATTATTAGATCACCGGTCGCGTCTTGGGATACATAGTCCTCTTGATCTGTGTAGAGAAAGTTGAGGGAAATTTTATTAAAGAGCACAAAATGTTTCTCAGCGCATCATAACAGATACATTCTTAGTTGACCTGGTATATAGATGGAAAAATACACAGGTCAGGAGAGAAAAAACAAACTTTTGTTAGGAGTTGAACTCAGGTGATTGGAAGTCCAGTACACTAGGCACTGAGCTACAACTCCCAGACAAAAGCTGGTCTTCCCCATTCCCTCCAAGTACAAACATATGCGTAACTTACTGAAAATGAGGACTTATATTACCTGCACTTCCTCCATCGCTCATGAGTAATAGTGAGAAGTCATAGCCCACAGGACAGTAGGAATGTCGACTGGTGATAACCACACACACTAGAACTTGTCCAGCATTCTCTCTCATACTGTACGCCGTCCTTTCAAACTCCACTGTAGCAACTGCAGAGCATCAAAAACAAGAGATTCCCCAGCCTCTCTACCTCTCTTTTTTTGTCAATTTCTATCCGTAGGATCAGCCACAAAATACTTTATACTGAGGCAAGGAATGCTAATTCAGTCGGCATGGAAGGTGTGGATGTATATGCATGTATGCAAGTCAGTGAGCATAACAGTTAAGTCTCTGCGACACTGTGTTGCAGAAGCTATACCTAGCTAAGGCAGGCAGTTGCTAAGCCATAGCTTCACGCCATGCCATGTGCATCACTTATAGCAGCAAGATGACCATGGGTGAATATGTGAACATGCTCTCTCTCCCTCTCCCCCTCTTACTGTCAGCATCAACGATGGAAACCACTGCCACATTATCTTCTAAGCTTATCCTGGGGTCCAGACTAGAGGTCCTATTGACAGTGACAGTAAACGTCTCTGTGTCTTCTTGGGTGTCGTCATTGGTGATGTGTATGTTGTAACACTCTCTCGTCTCACGAACAGAAAAAGAGAGTGATCTTCTTCGTGAAGCACTGAAATCAGCTCTAACATTTCCCCGGGATATGCTGACTATTGGGAAAAAAACACCAAAGCAAGTACAAACCACATGATGTCAGTTAGCTACTTACCAGCAGTGCTGTCAAGTGTGTTGAGTAGAACAGAGAAGGAGAAATCAATTGGAGTATCTATAGCTGGTCTGCAAACTTCAACACAGACAGTGACAGTTGTATTCTCCTCTTGGACACTGTATGCTGTTTTGTCCAGCTTTAATACCGCCTCTGTAGTAATGGGGCATGGACACTGTCATGAGTATGTGTATATACACCCTTCTACATACTCACCATCTGTGGGGTCATCAATCACTGTGAGTGTTCCTGATGCAGTATTGACGATGATCCTTCTGTCAAGGTCATCTGTTCTCTCCGGTCGATATGTATATCTTTTTGTCAGCTCAAGTTGTTCATCATCGTCAATTGGAACGGACACACATGCGTTGAAAGAACACCTCCTAAATGCCATTGGGAAGTCCTCTGTGATTGGGAAACGGATCATTAATATTTTGATAAGTAAATGACAGACAACTTACCCCCATCAACTGATAGATTTATTTCAAAGTCAAAGACAACTGGACAGGAGCTCCGGTCTGGTGTGGGGTCGTAAATCTCTGCACATATTCTCACAGTCTCATTCACTCCTTCTGTTACAGTAAATGTTGTTTTCTCCAGTCGGATATAAGCCCCTGTATAGGACGTTGGGTCACTAACATCAAAAGTAAATGTGATGTATAAGTTATAGTTGTATAAGTGAACAGTGACTCTCACGAAATAGTATCATGCCATTGAACATGCATACCCATGCAGTTAACTTGTTTGTTCTGCCTTTGCCTTTCTTTAATAATTTGCACATGTAAATGAAGATACACTGATATCTGTCTCACTTCCCAGACACCTTGACTTCGTGATACCCTGCAGTTCCCCAGGCACCATCTGAGACTTGACTGTTGAATGCTGAGATTTTTACCTAACCTTTCTTACTTCTCAAACACACCATCTACACTTTAATATTAGCTTCTCGGTACTCTGGACATGACAACTTGATATTATTCTGATAAACCAGAGTGTTGAAACAAACTTGATATTTCCAATATTTCAGTCTCCTCACGGAGGCCTTCCTCAGGGAGAGTATAGCGATACAACTGAAATGACTAGGATGGCAACACGGAGATGGAACAATGACACAAAAATGTAGAGAACAATGACAGAACATTTAAATGAAACCTAAGAGGTGGGCAGTTTCATTGAATTGCTCTGTCATTGTCCTCTATATATACCTGCTAGGAGATCGAGACGTTAGAAATAAATATAAAGTTTGTTTCAACACCTCAGCTACACTTTACAGAGATAAAACAGAGAACCAAATTTATCTTCCAACAGCTCAACAGCTATTTAACCAAACACAAAGAATCTTTGAACTTATCAAGTGACTGGAAATTCTCTAACCCACCGCAAGCTCAGGCATACTAAAGAAATTGCCAGTTTGTTAACATAAAATCAATGTTCTTTACTATGTGAATAATATTCATGCAAAAGGAATGTAGCTAGCATGTAAAATGCTTACTTACTTTCTGAATCATCGCGGATTGTGACAACAACAGTGCTGGGATCAGGTTTGACCAGAGGAACATCACTAAGGAGGGAGAGGGTAAAAAATTCCATATTCTCCACTTGCACATTATAGGGATCGTTGACAAAGGAAATACGATGGGGAGCACACGCACTTCTCCTGCAACGGGCAAACTCTATTGTTTGCACTCTGCAAGCCACATAATCCGAGCCATTTACTGAAGAGACAATAGTATACAAAGTGAGACAGGGAGCAAATAGATACGAGTGCAGTCATTACAGGCAGTGTTATCAGAAATGAGTAAGGTCAGGGAGAAGGGAATGGTGACTGGACAAGACACACGAGGGCTAATCACTCTTGCACAGACTGTTAGACTGCTACTTGTTTCCTGGACAATGTACTCAGGTCTGTCAAAAGTGACAATTGCCACTACATGAAGAAAAAAATGAATAGAAAAACCAGGCTGGGACCAGGAAACTTACTATCTTCATCTTCAATGGTAACAGTAGTCACATTAGGACTGAGTATGATGCGCTCAGCGAAGTCTTGACTTGGTGGTTGTAGAGTGATGGTAAAGGTTTCAGTGTCTTCAATGAGGTCGTCATCAATGATGTCTACTGTCAGACATTCCTTCTTACTGCATGCACTAAAATTCACAGCCCTGTCATTGAGTGTATAATCACGTCCTTGGACTTTGAAAAAGGACAGAAGGAGGATGAAATATAAGTATGTATGGCAGATTTAACAACATACATGCAGTGCCCGGATTTGCAGCAAATATTAGCTCAAAGGGGAAGGCAATAGGGCAGGCAGTGGTCGGAGAAAACACCACAACACAGACATTAAGTTGCAGATTATCCTCTTTCACTGTATATGTCATATTGTCCAATCCCACAGTAGCTTCTGCGTAGAAATGATATGTTTGAAATTAACAACAATTGAATTGGGGGGTAGTTTTGTAACAATAGTCACATCTGACTGGAGGGATGGTGGCTAAATGGAAGTTTGCCATACAGAATAACTCCCTAGCGCTCTCCCCTTTGTACTCGAGGACTCCCTTAGAGGATTGGTACAGATAATACACCCTACCTACAAACTTGTGTCAGCACTTGTGCGCCTATGGGTTTGATACACCGAGGGTAGCAGCAGAGCTTTCTAACACCATAGCAACAGAAATGCTTACCAAAACTGGGATTGTCTCTGATAGTGATCGATCCATTCCCAATTATAGATATCCTACTATCATTGCTTTGCAGTGTTATAGGTCTTGTATAGGGATTCTCAAGGATATTGTTATCTTCAACAAGGAATATCCGACAACTTTTTCTTTTAATACCGATTTTTAGTTCTATAATTTTAACTAGAGAAAAGTGGAGGAAGGTATTAAAATAATTGAATATAATAATTATCTCAGACATACAGATTTTAAATCCGATGCAAATCTCTGTTTCCACAGAAACCGATGAAATTGCACATATTTCACTTTCTTCTCCTTCTGTTAAAATGTAGTGCTCCCTTTCCAACTGCACCAAGGCCTCTATTAGAATGACAACACACAGATACAATATTATAATCAATTGAGCCTCGTACCATCAGTATCGTTGATCCAGATATCAACCTTGTCTTCTTTTACATCACCACCACTTCCAAAATCATAGACTAGACTAAGAGTAAACTGTTCCATATCTTCTACCCTCACATCATTAATAATGGCCACATCAAAACAGGCTTTCTCTTCACAAGGGTCCAATCTGAGGATTGACTGTAGTGACCTGTAGTCCTGGCCTGCCACTGTAAAACAGATAATACTGATGTACAAAGTTTATATTAGCTAAGTCAGGTTATAATGAAAAGCACTGAAGTGCAAACCCTCGGCGCTCACTGTGACGCGCACGCGTAAGTAAACGCATGCGCTGTACCAGGGTTGGGTTTAGTTTTAGCTGTTACTCGCGGTCTCTTGCCACTCGCGCAGAGTCTGACGCGGGCTAACTACACTACTAGATAGCATGCGAGAGGCGATACACGCCCTGCGTTGCATCTTCTGGTGCCTCCGTGGTACGCAGAGCACGCGGATCGATCCGACTGGTAAGCCCTCCCGTCCGTTGTATATTTGCATATTGGCTTTTTCGCGCTCTAGCTTTGCAACGGAGCAGTTTCAGGGAAAACCGCCTTTATTTTCTGACCTTCATTGCCCGTTCAGTAGGTGGTATCCTTTGTGAGACGAAAGAACACTCGAGAAGTGAGATGAAGAGTAACAGACAAACAGACAGACACACAAACAGACAGACCCAAGTACTGTAACCCTCGCTGCGCATGCGCGCCGAGGGTTAATAACCTGCTGTGACATCTGAAGTTGAGAGGTTGACGGGGATGAGTAACTCTGAATGATGCCCATGAGCTGTAACTAACACACACACTTCAGCTCTACCATCCTCCTCTTGTACAGTCAATGATCGTCTCTCAAATTCAACTGTTGCCACTAAAAAAAGTAGAAGAAAGGTAGGAAGCAAGGAGAGACCTACATTGACGAATTCAACATGCATCTTTATTCAATATTCTGTTGTTGTAAAAGTGAAATGTGTCAAATGAAAATCTGAGGTTAATGCACGGATGGCATGGCCGAGCACAAACCCAATAAAAATGCATAGTACAGATGCTATCAGTGCACATTCCAACCGTGTAAGTGACAATGCACACCTCTGTGAACTCCAACAGGTTTTATCAGTGTAATAAGTTTGGTTTTGTGGTTCAGATTGATGTGCACTTGAGACCCTCTTGGATTCTTACCGAAAGTAGACGAAATAGTTATATTGTGCTTCACATCAACCAGCTCAATTCTGTTATCGTGATTGGCTGGAGGTTCCAGGTTGATACTGAGTTGATTGACGGCAGAGATATTCACAGGAACCAGAACACACTTTTGGATGGCACATTGTTCAACTGTCATGGTAATGTAGTCATCACCAGTTCCTAGCAAAGAAGAATGATCCCCTTGTGATATATAATATAGTAACTATTTTACTGTCCATGGGTGTAAAACTTTATTCCATGGTAATCCACCACCGTTAATTAGGAGTGAATGAATAATTTATACAGCAACTTACCATCATTTTCACCTTGAACGGAAACTTTCAAATTGAATTGAAATCCCACCGGACAAACTGCACTGTTGTAGGGTGGCTTTGCCTCAACACACACTTCAATCTCTGTCTCATTGTCATAAACTTCAAGATCAGTTTCCCTCAGACCAAACCTAGTAACTATACAGTAGGGAACAGGGAATGTTGTTGCAGATAATTTGTAATGTGCACCCATACCATCATCATCAGTGATGGTGATGGTTGCAGGTGTATCTTCAAGTGAGATCCTGTAGTCAAGACCAGGAGTTCTTTCCAGTCGAACAGTGAAAGTCTTCTCCAGCAACTCTACCGTGTCATCATCAATGATTGTAACTTCTGTGCAGATGACTGGCTGACAAGGCATTGCTCTTACAGTGGTAGATATTGACTCATAATCATGACCTGATGCTGGAAATATACACCAAACAGCATTCATTCTGATGTTAACAAGGAGTGGAATAGACTTCAAGGCAGATAGTGATCAAACCCTTGTGTGCAAGTTCAGCTGCTGGGGTTACACAATATCACAAGGCAAAAGCAACCAGAAACACACTACCCCACCACATTGGGACTCTTTCGTAGTTAACAAATACTAATCGCCTAATGAAGCGCGTTCTTACTTGCAGTTACATCCTGAGTAGAGAAAACAACGTTGAACTCGAAATCAACGCGGCATGTTTCAGGATCAGAACTCAACCGAGCACACACCTCAACAGATGAATTACGTTCACTGATGCTAAAATCCTCAATACCAATGTGAAGCGCTAAAGAGAGAAAATACAATATAAGCGTGTCAGAGGTAATGTAAAGAGTGACATTACCATCATCATCAATGATTAAAACTCTGGACTCTGCGGGATTCAGGATAATCCTGTCACTCAGATCTGGTACTGCTTCCAAACTAACTGTGAACACCTCAACAAGATCCTCTAGTGTGTGATCATTATGGATAAGTATGTCTACGCATGATCTCTGTTGGCAATCTTCAAAAATCAATGACAAGGGATCTAACAGAGATCCAATATCTGGAAAATGGGGAAAACCGAGTGGTCACGTACTGCAGAACATTTTGATAAACTTTCCTTACCAGCACTGTTATCTGTTATAGACAGTGGAACACTAAAAGAATGTTCAAAGGGGCATCTTGTACTTGTGGGTGATCGCCATGTAGCACACATTTGAAATGACCCAGCTAATTCCGAAAAGAAATATCCACTTTCTAGACCGACTACACCAGCTGAATGAGTGATGCATCATAGAAATGCCTTAAACTCACAGGTTCTGCTTACAATCATCATCCTCAATCCGTATGACAGTGTGTCCTCTTTCAATAACGGTGGCAGCTGTAGCATCTTTAATAAGAAGTGTGAGGCCAGTATACTCTGTTGGCTCCACACGTGCATCATCATAGATTATCTGGTCATAACACAATGTCTCTCCTTCTTCTATAGTCACCGACTGCATTTTGTTACAGCCACGAATTTGTTGCTCATAATCGTCAAAGTCCTCCGCTGTATACTCACATTCAATGCTGGGAAAGTTACCATCTGCAGTAGTAGACACTATCTGTACTCACACTCACTACTGCTCTGTCTAGGGCATCTCTTGACTTTATGGTGAGTGAGTAAGGGAAATATCTGCACAGCTCAACTACAAAAGTCTGGAACTTGAGTACTACCAATGCGTTTCGTTTGCATGGAGTGCTAGCAAGGTATGTATACAGTTCCTTACAAGTGTTGTCTTAGAGTAGGTTGTGAGGCATAAATGTGCTATAGTTAGCTAGCTGATAGGCTTACTTGCCAGTGGGCGAGGGACAGCAACAGTATCATCAGAGTACACCTCCATTCTGATGGAGTTGGTCTTGTTAGCAGGACATGTTAGGTTGACGCAAACACTAACAGAACCAGCACCTTCACTGACAGTGTACTGCCCCAGAGTGAACCCAATAAAACAAGGGTCACCTAAATAGATATCAGCTTTAGCCCATATACGTTAAAAATCTCAGACTCACCATCATTGTCAGTAATGTGTACATATGCCATGTCTCTAATGTATTCTCCAACACTCTCTAGCTCTTCCGTGAATTGGGTATAGAATGCTGTAAACCTCAGTCTCACAGATTCAATGCTCTCTAATACTGTGTCGTCATCATTGGCAGTTATAGCAAAGACTGCCTGTCCTTCGTTGTCAGTTTCTATCACCCCAATGTCACTGAAGTCACTGGCCCCTATAATACACAGGAGGTCACACTGTAGACAGAGCTATGACACAATGTTTTACCTGCAGTTACTGCTGTGGACGTGATATTTCCTAAGAGAGGCAGTCCTAGTCTCCTATAACGTGATTGTCCCTTCACATTCTTGAGAAACTCAATATTTCCATCCTGTCCTTCAGTAATATCGAATTTTGCCTTCCTAAAACCATGAACTGAACATTTTTTGCGAATTAACTTCGTATAGATGCATCATGCTTGTCTCACCAATACACCTGTTACAGCCATCAGGAGTCATGTAAGACAAGGAATCATCACTACCAATACAACACTGTTTGGCAGTGGCAGTGATAGATGACGGACTACCAGAACAATCAGTGGAAGCAAAACACTGGACAAAGTTCCCTGCAGCTACGTACGATATAAAGTCTGGCGAGTTAGAGCAGATTTTTTACCATTCAGTGGAGGAGATGGCGTGCAGTCAGCAGTCAGAACCGTAATCAATAGAAATGTCACACTTATCATTACGTTTGACGCCATCGCTGCGATTTACAGGTCAGTTTAGCTAGCTACTAGCTACCCAGTTAACAAAGTGTTTCAGTTCGTTACACAGAAAGTGGCAGGTGCATAATATCGTCCGGCCCCGCGAGATGCATGGCAAGCTCGTGCTCAGGCTGGCCCACTCTTGACGTATATAGCTGACAGCTTATGAGGCATATCTCGCCGAGTTTTTGAGGCGTTTTGTACGAGGATCACGTGAGATATGACAGTTGAGCGTCTACGGACGCTCTAAAAGTAACATGTCGAACGATGCTCAGGACGTCCTCAGATGGAGACACCGGCCAAGTATTACAATGGCTAGACCGTAGTTTTGTATGCGTCCTTGCCGACATACACTGACCCATTGCGGCATCAGGACGACAAAGGTTCCTTGAAGAGCTTGGATAGGACGAGAGGGAAGAAGTAAATAAGAGGGAGATGAAGTCTTGTCGCTATTTGTTGCACGGATTTTCGACAATGGAATGTCGCATGAGCGCAAGACGACAATTCTACATGCTCTTTAATCCTGTCACTAGGAATTATCATCCCTCATCCACATCAATTTTATATTCTAAGTAGCTAACACCCTCGGAAGAGAGAAGAAAGTACTGTGGAGAGTCAACAAGACTAATACACTCATAGAAAATATAACACAAAGATTATAGAGATTGTGGCATCAGTGTTCTATGGAGCGATGGCTTGTTTCTTTCCTTGTTCCCCCTTCAGTCTGCTGTTGGCAAACGCCCCCGGCTCGATCATAATTCATTGCTAGCTATCATAATTATTAACGTATGATAGCCGTGGTCTAGCCAAGTCCGTCTGGTTTTTGTGCGATGGGGGTATATTATTATACTAGCTAATAATCAGTCGGACCAATATTCGGACGCTTATTTTACACGAACGGAAAAGGTAGAGAGAAGAACTCTGTTTTAGATGGCAGCTGTCCTTCTTCTGCACTTATGTACGTTCAAAAATGACATTGACGCGTTTAGAAGCTAAAGTAAAATTTATCGATGTGATCGGATAATGCAGTTTTCGGACAAACCGATTATTTTCGGACTTTGCTACAACACAAACTTAGAAGCAACCGCACATATTTTAAACTACATCTACACAATGTCTAAATAACTTCATAATCTGCAGATTGAGTATTGTTCCTTCGCTAACACTGTTGGTGCGGTAAAGGAAGAGCTAACGCCATCAATAATCAGACTTCACGGCCTCATCTTGGTCTGCGTATTCCTTCCGAGGCAAACCTCTACAGCATACGCAACTGCAAATACCCGCAGTCTTTTCGACCCTTCTGCTGCTGCACTGACACACTTTATTTCCAAGGTTGAATCTTGAACCCTATAAATCTTGGAGATTTGTAGGATTGTGGAATTGTTGACTGAGAAAGAGGGACATACTGTCCATCACCATGACGACCGAAGACCCTTTTGACAAACACTTGCACACTTGAACAGTTCTGGTCTACCGACTTAAACTTCAGATTGCTGCCCAATATGGTGTGTTGGAAACCAGTTACGTGCTGAAACTGCACACTCAGCAATGATTGGGGAGCTTTAATAAGATTGTCAGTAAGCTCTTCGTCACCCAGTAGTCTTTTTTATCATCTTCATATAATTTCAAGAGCTTTAATCCACCGGTGCACATCCAGATCAGGATCATTCTCTGATACAGAGAAAATCATTATCATTTACAAAATGGGAGAGTCCTCGCTCATAATGGCTTCTCTTGATCCTGCAAATTTATAACAAAAAATGTGATTACGATTTTATGCACTTATGCACTTTCCCAAATAAAGAACACCATACAGGTTCAGTGTAGCAAAAGACTCACGTTTCTTTGAACCTATATACATTCCCAGATGCTTCTGTGTCGTGACTGGACTCTCAGTGCTTGGGTGACGTGTCCCCAGCTCTCTCCGTGCGCTGTGGCTACATCCAGTAACAGGTTTAAATTTTGGAAAGCCTAAATACATAAGCACAATACACATCACACTTACATGTTTTGCTCTTGTCCTTGAGTTCTTCAATCTTCCTTTTCTCTCTGATTCTTTTTCTCTCTTCTTTTATCAATGCCGTCGCTTGTTTTTTCTCTCTCATGCTCTTGCATCTGTTGTATATTCTCAAGACTTGTCAAAACTTTACCAGCTGATTTTCCTTGTTTGGTAGGAAGACTACTTGGTGGATCAGGTTGAACAAAGAATTTGCTAATGGTAGTAGCACAGGGCAGAGGATGTGGAGCAAATAATAGACTCGTCCAAGTAGCTAGGTTCTGATCTCGAGCGTGCAAGAGAGGAAGCCAAGGAAACTGCATGGACTTGAAAAAGAGGGTGGTATGCATCTCTTCCTTTCGGGTGTAGAGTGAATCGGTATACTGTCCCAGCTGAGATTGTGAAGGGACTCTTGTATGGCGAGTAGGACGAGCTGGACTATACAAAGGTATGTATGCCAGGTTGGTTTTCTCTGGAAGGTTGGGTGGCTTAAATACAGAAAAACTCTGGTCATCTTCAGGTAAACAAATAGCGTTTCTGTTGAATGGACAGATACCTG